GAATGTTTCCTTATAATGAATAATTACACCCAATTCTCAATCTGCTAATTGTTACACATTGTTTCTTTGAACTATACAGTGAAACCTGACAAAAAAGTACGTCAAGTTGATACTACTGATCTACTGTGGTCAGCTCAGACTTGTGTGTCATGCAAGTGTTTGTGCGTCAATATGCTTGTTGTACATTAGTCACGCAGGTTACATTTCGACCAACAGCAGCAATCTGAGAAAACATGTCAGCGGTCCCAGATATTACCAAGCATTACCAAGGAACTAATTAATTAAAGCTTTTAATATAAGCTTTTAACTTTTTTGTCTCAAATTAGATGGAAAGGGAACAAAGTGTTTACACAATATAAATGTGAGCTTTCAGTGAATTCTTCCATAAAATTCACATAAACTTGTGACTTTCACCACATGACCATAACAGCGGGTAATAAGTTCTTTGTTTAGTGTTATGTACCGATCATGTGAGGCTATAATGTGCATGTGGATAGTCGTGATGTTTACTTTGTCAGAAGGATTTCTTTACCATCCACAATTTAAATATTGAATATATTAGTCAAGGAGGTAGTCTGAGGATGTTACGCCATGTTTAAAAGAGGAAATGTTTGAGCAGCTGTGTTTCTGACAGGCAAACCTTTGACACACTGTTTTATGCTTTTGAATATAGCAGAATTTGAATCACCATTACTTTAGGAGATGGAAGAATGTGGTTGGGAACGGAAGCAGATAATAATTGCTATTATTTCACTATTATGAGCAGTTAAGTTAAGATGCATTAATCATCATCCTATAAAAACAAGCCGTGCAATTAAACGTAATTACTGGGTAATTGGAAGTACTGGTAATACGGGTTTCCACCTATTTGCATTCATTGATCCAGTGTTGATCATCTACTGTTTGCCTGCCTTCTATTTGTTGTTACTACGGAAAGTAACTTTGCTCAGCCTGCTTTTTGAATAGCGGCCACAGAAACCTTGTTTTTTTATTTTGTAACAGTTTCCAACCAGAGGACCAGAAAGTGCACTAAGTTCTGACCATTGCACATCAGCTAAATATCTTGTGTTTGCTAGTATCGTGTAATTTTTACCTCAAATTAGATTTAAAATCTCACCTAAAGTCAGTTTAATATAACACAAAGATGTGTTCAGTGACGTTTTAGCTAAATTAAACGCATTAGGAATTCAATTCAGTGATTCAAATGAAGGAAACAAAATTCCTTTTCAGTCAAGCTTTTATTTAAAAAAAAAAACTTTTATTTAACCAAGTGGGAAAGAACATTTACTCAAATACACTGTTCTACTAACTATATCAAGTACAATTTTTACATTTTTATTTTTTACTTTTGGTTTTAACTTAATTTGAAGGCAATATTGTCCTTTTTCTCACATTCATCTAACAGCTCTGGCTACTGGCTACTTGGCAGAAGAAATTTTCAGATCTAAACAAATTGTCTCCACTTTACACAATATGACACACAGTTATAGACTGGTTTACGAAACAGTATGGGATTCAAAGTAACTAAAATGACCTCTTCCTACTAGTGTCATTTTAATGCTGCTTTCATGTTAATAAATCAGTAATAATGAATAAATGTTAGAATTTTATTGAGTTACTTCTCCAAACGCCCAGAAACCAACAACATACTCCAGACTGACATGATTATTCAATTGACAAAAATTAAATAGCCATACTTTTGATTGTTGATAAATAATTTGTCTTTTTAAGCCAAAGTTCCAAAAATTCAGTGATATGCACTTCTCAAATGTGAATATTTGCTCATTTGTGTATTTTTCTCTGAGAGCAAATTCAGCATCTTTGAATTTTTGACCACTGATCAGACAAAAGCAGCAATTTGAATGTGTTCACTTGGGCTTTAGGGAATAAAGACTTCTCATTATTTTCTGCCATTTCCTAGACTAAACAATAAAAACTGTCTAATGTATTACTATTAAAAATATTTGTTGGTTACTTTTATTGTTACTGTTACTGTTACTGTGATGGAATAATACAGTTTCACTGTGACAGAGAAATGGAGCCTATTTGATAAAACACAACTTAACATAACACAAACTAGGTGTTAAAGCGCTAAAGCTAGATAATAAACTGGACAACAAACAGCAAACTGCAGCAGGCTGTATCTAGAGCACTAACATCTTGTGTTGACTACACCCAGATCCTGTGGGTATTTTTGGCGTTAGGTATCAGTTGTGTGTTTAACGAGAAGTGCATGAAGGCAGGCAAGGCAGCATACGTTAAATTATAGTTTAGTCAACAGAGTGAAAAGCCGTGGGAGCGATAGGTGTGGAGCTGAGGAGCCGAGGATAAAGTCAAGAACTTTAACTCACTGTCCTCGTCACTTCTCATAACTGAATTTTAAAGACTTCTTCACAAAGGTAGGCTTCAAAAGACCATTTATTGTTTTGTTTTGTTTATTGTTGACAGTTTCCTGTGTACAAAACAGGATTAGGGTCACTGTTAAAAATGTATTCAAGTTATGACCTTTGTTTTTCTCAGAATTCTGACTTTATATACCTGACTTGTAAAAAGGTCAGGATTCTGAGATACAAAAGTCAGCGAACGAGCGAACTCATGCAAGTGTAGACACAAGCATGAGCCTCTCATGAGCTGCATGCCAGAAGTTGTAGGCTGTGCATGCTAAATGTGCGCTGTAGACATAGCTTAAGGCTTATTATTATTTTATTGTAAAACATTTCATCTGGATAGAAGCCTCTTCAGCTCCAGAGCCAGACCAGAGTCTGCCAGTCAGTGACCACTGGCCTAGACAGATTTTAACACTAAGACGTGTTCTTGTTTCATGGATTTGACGTACAACCCTGAGGGTCTGTTTGCTCTTCACACAGTAATGGCTCTATAATTTCAATTGTCTTTTAATGAGTTTATATGCAGTCATGCTTGAAAAAATATTCAGCTAAAGATACTATATTATAGTATAAATATATTATAGCATAAAATAAATTATGTTTTTTTTAAATGACTTATTCCCTGGTTGATCTCTTGTGAATAGCAGATTATATAAATTCTAATGTGAAGACATCATCAGCAATAAATCAAATGTATGGGTTGCTTAAACACAAATATTAATTATTAGATGATAAAGTTTTCATTTATGTCCAGATCGTCATATTTTATAGGGTTTGCAAGTATCTTCCATTCTTTAAATCATAGCCTTGAACTGAAATTGTGTTTTAGTGTCAGGATTCTAGGTGGCCAAAGTCCTGCATGTGATTATAATTCTGTAGAGTAGGTGTATCTATAACCTAGAGAATAAAATAATGAATTATTGCTTAAAAATGCCTGGCCTACAGTTCTGGTGCAGTTACAAAACAACACACATCAGATTTCATACTCAGTTCATTTGTTGCTTTTATACCTTTGAAGGATTTGCATAATTTAATAAAAAGCCAACATGACATCCCATTTCAATATCATCCCATTTCAATATTTTTTTTAAAATGCTTCCTTCAAAATTCAACTCATAATGTGTATATCATAAATGTAAATCTGATTTTTAAGGGCTTGCATTGCAAATAATTAGAATGACTGGGGCTCGTCAGTTGTGGGGTGAGCAGTGGCATGACCAGTAATTTTAGGATGGTGGCCACAGCCCCCTACCCCTGGCCACCCCTTGGGGGCGCCATTGTTTATATACATATGTGCCTGCGCCCTGACTTTAATGCAAACTCAGTCAATCAGTGGTGGATTCCTTGTCAAGTGATTTAATACAGTATTGAATATTGTAACAGAAATAAACAGATTGTCACAACAATCCTCTTCACATTTCACAGCCTTTTATAGTTAAAGCTAAAGTCAGTCATTGCGGACATGACTCAGATCTTTCCCCATGATGCTTCTTATATTAAAGCTGATGAAATGTGCATATACTGTACTGTAGTTCAACCTTGAAAAGTGAATAATATGTGACAAAGTTTGTACTTTTATTATGCTTATTTTTCTTTGTTTCAGGGAAGTGATCCTTGTCAGCCATGGATATAGTGAGGAAAATGAAACTTGTGAAGCAGCTGCTTATTGGGTTGTGCGTCATTTACTTCGTGAGTACTAGCTAACCACTTCATTTAATGTTTATGCTAAAAGGCAGCAGAGTGAATGCAGATAACACCCAAACACAGTGTTACTGAGTAGTGAAAGGAGCATGTGGTGGCCAGGGAGCAGACTGGCACCACATGTCAGCCTGCTTGGCTAAAGGACTATGTGACTTAACTACATGGACCCTTGGTAAAGGATGTACATGTTGACTTTGATTTCAAGTTGTGTTAGTGTGTTATTGTGCTGCTATGCTGTTGCTGTTAATGCATATCCTGTCTGGGTTCATGGGTATATTGCTGTGCTTCCTGTCCATACTGCCAAGCGTGCTACTGATCACCAGGTAAACATAGTTGTTAAATCCAAACCATCTGTGCCCCATTACTGGCCATCCACCGTGACAAAAGCGATTAGTCTATAAAATGTCTGGAAACTTAACAAATGACTGTCACAAGTCCACAGTGACATCTTTAAATGTGCTGTTTTGTCTAAACAACCATACAGAGATATTTAGTTTGTGAAACAAGTACATTTTAGTAATTTAATCAACTAACATTTCAGCTTTACATATTTTTGTCAAGCTAAAAATAAAAATATTAAGGAAAA